CTCTATATCTCTATTCTCTATCTATAGTCTATATTCTCTATGCTCTATAGCATGACTACCCGCATTTCAATATCTGACACATTTTCCCACCAAACCCCCCAACACAGTACCCCCAATCCAATTCCCCCTACAGACGCCCTCCCCTCGCGGACAATTTACAAGCCGCCACCTCTGCACGCGACCTTACGACCACGTGGATGTAGGAGCATGGTCCCCCAAACGCCCCTAGAGGCAGCATGGAATCCGTCGAGCTCTGCTGCAGTGTTGGGGGCAGAGTCCCTGAGGCAGAGACTCGAGCGGATCTGCGCTGGGTGCAGGGCTCGGAGAAGGCATGCTGAAGTCTCGGGAGGAGACTGTGGAGACATTGGGCAGAGTACATGGCTTGTCGCAGTACTCGTGCTGTGTAGGTCTTGGGACCTGTGGCTTAGTTCCTGTAGTGAACTGTCCTCTTGCTATATTGTAAGTTACATTCATTTTGGTCAAGTTGATTGTATTCCCTGTCTCACTGCTTACATACCATCCATTATCTAAACCACAATAATGATCTGTTCCCAAATATTATTATTGTACAAGGACTTAATAATAAACTTGGTTTGAGTAGAACAGTAATATTCACTGTCCCCGTTATTTATTCTTATTTCCGTTTATTTATGTTTAGTTAAAGTAGTGAGAGGGTGAGTAGTGTGGAGTGGTGGGTAGAGTAATAAGAGGTGAAGGTGTAGTCACCAGTGACCTCACATTACCTACCTACCTCCGCACAAATCCCTCCTGCTGCCTCGGCTGTCCCCTACCTACTAACTCCCTCCTCTTACTCCCATATTCCCCTAATCATTACCCCCCTACATGACAAGAGTGTGAGTGTGGAGAGTGAGTGTGAGTGTGGAGAGTGAGGGAGTGTGAGTGTGGAGAGTGAGTGTGAGTGTGGAGAGTGAGTGTGAAGAGTGAGAGAGTGAAAGTGTGGAGAGTGAGTGTGTAAGTGTGGAGAGTGAGAGAGTGTGAGTGCGTAGAGTGAGAGAGTGTGAGTGTGGAAAGCGATAGAGTGTGAGTGTGGTGAGTGAGTGTGAATGTGGCGAGTGAAGTGTGAGTGTGGAGAGTGAGAGAGTGTGAGTAGAGATTGAGAGAGTGCGAGTGTGGAAGTGAGATTGTGAGTGTGGAGAGTGAGTGTGCGAGTGTGGAGAGTGAGTGTGTGAGTGTGGAGAGTGAGAGAGTGTGAGTGTGGAGAGTGAGTGTGAGTGTGGAGAGTGTGTGAGTGTGGAGATTGCGAGAGTGTGAGTGTGGAGAGTGAGAGAGTTTGAGTGAGGAGAGTGAGAGAGTGTGAGCATGGAGAGTGAGTGTGAAGTGTGGAGAGTGAGAGAGTGTGAGTGTGGAGAGTGAGAGTGTGAGTGTGGAGAGTGAGTGTGAGTGTGGAGAGTGAGGGAGTGTGAGTTTAGAGGTGAGTGTGTGAGT